GCATTAAGAGTTGCCAAATGAACCAAAGATTTAGTAGCTAAATAAGAAGCTGCAGAAGTACCATAAGCAACAGTTTTAAGCTTGAACGTTTGAATTTCTTCTGAAGAGTTATTTCGCCAGAGTATACATTGGTAATATGCGTCACTTTCATCCAGTAAAAACTGCCTATACATCTTGCAAATATCAGCTTTTAAGCCATACTTGTAAAATCGAAATCTGAGTAGAATTGAATATAAGTCTTCTTGAACTGGAGGGCCAATCATAAGGATATCATTTAATGAAAGCCCAGATGTTGTAGCACAACTGCCATCAAATACGACACGAAGGTTAGTTGTAGATGAATCTGGTTTTAATACACAATGATGAGGAAGATAGTATTTGACAAGCCTTTTATCATGTTTGGAAACAAGTTCCATGTGATCTAACCTTAAATACTCTTCCAAAAATTTCGAATATTCTTCCTTAAGATTGGAATTTGAGTTTAATCGCTTTTCCAATGACAGAAAACGTTTTTCGGCATTGGAAAAGCGATTGACGGTGACGTTTGAATGGTAATTTAACTATTATTTTACCAGAGGATGACCTCTGGACAGTAGATTTGAAAAAACGTTCACATGACAATTCTTCCTCAGTTAGCTTGTTTGAATTAGTTTCGACCGACTCAATTTGCCAAAAGTTTTTTACTTACTCGTGTAAATTAGCATCTGTGTTAACTTCATTATTTTCCAAGGTAGCGACCAGTGAATTGCAATTGATTGATTTGGAATTGGAAGCATATTTACCCGAAACTATCCAACCAAAGAGTGTTTTTTGCAATAAAGGCATATCAGAGCCCAATTTAATTTGTCCGACGGACATAATATTAAAAAATACTTCAGCGCCAATCAAAATATCAACATTTTGTTGAATAAAAAATTGTGGATCAGCCAATTCAATATTTCTAGGAATATTCCAATCCTTGATGACTATAGGAGAATCAGGCATAATTCCAGCTATGGATGGTAAGATAAACATGTCTAAAGGGGCAGTGAAATCATTTATTCGAGATTTTATAATAGATTGTGTCGAAAATTTAATTTTTACATTAGTGTTGGCAATTCCACTAATGCCAGTATTTATACGTTGTTTCTTTAGTCCAAGATGGTTAGCCAATCGGTCGGTGACGAAATTTAGCTGTGAGCCAGAATCCAATAAAGCTCGGACTGGTTGAAACAACCCGTGGTTATTTTTAATATGTACTACAGCCGTTGCTAAAATTACACTAACGTTTTTAACTGGACTAATGGGTAAATTATTTACTGAAGATACTAGTGCATTTGACGGAGATGATGGATTTAAAGTTACAAAAGATGAAGTTGAAGACTGTTGTACAGATCCATTAGCTGTTGATGATGTGTTATTTGGACCAAAACGATGAAGTAATGTGTGATGTGGGGCGGAGCAAATTCTACACTTAGAAGAATTGCATCTTTTTACCGAATGCCCTTTATTCAAGCAGTTTATACAAAGCGCTAAGTTTTTTACCTTTTCAAAGCGAGTTATTACGGGTAATTCAGAAAATGTTTTGCATTTGTAAATGGTGTGACTATTATCATTGCAAATAAGACACGACGACAAATTTCGAGCTCCCGATTGTGATACCGAAAGTGCTGTTGAGTTGTGAGAAAGCGATTTGTTTCGAAATTTAGCGAACAGCGAAGAAGATTGTTTGACCTCTTTGCACTCAAGGAACTGGCATCTTTTACTAAGAACCTTAGAGCAATCCTGCCAACTCAATAAATTTGAAAAATCAACGGTTTCTTCCCATTTATTTTGTGACTCAGCATCTAATTTACTCATTACGACATAAATAATCATTGAATTCGCAATGTTCTCACCAGAACCAATAGATAGCATCGAGCTTAAAATAGCGTTAACACTGTCAACCATATTTCTAAGATTTGTTGCAGTGGCCCTCGTTATTTTAGGCAACTGAAATAATTCTCCAATTAGTTCTTGAAACATTAACGTTTTGTTGTTAAATCTATCATTTAAATGTTTGAGAATTTTTGGATAATTTTCATCCGAAATTCGAAATTCACGAACAGCATTTTTGGCAATCCCATCCAATGAGCTCACTAAAATGTTACACTTCTCGATAATTTCATAGTTTGTGTTGTTGTGTATGCTCTTATTAAAAATACCGATGAAGTTAGGGTATTCAGAATACTTTCCATCGAATCTAGGCAGTTTAATTTTGTGAAGATTGGTTGCTTGAGTTGATTTTAGTATAAAAGATTGATTAAGTTCAGTAGATTGAGAACCCAAGTCTTGTTTTTTATTAGAAATTAATGAAGTGAGTAAAGATTTGGTAGATATGTACACCTCCTCACATTCCGAACGATAGGTTATGTTGGTATTATCATTTGGCATTAAAGTTTCGTAGCTAGTCTGACACGAAAGTAGTTGCTTAAAATAAGATTCTAGAATCCCAAGCCTACATTCTAACTCAGGTAAGCTG